AAGCAGAATCAAAATGACGAGAATAAGAACTACAAAAACCACGATTAGTGCTGTCTTCTTCGACTTGCTCAGGACAGTCTCTCCACTTTTACCACTTTTTGTCGTAGGATGTGGATTATCATCTCCTTTTTGTAATGGAATATCTTCAAACGGAGCTGCCATGGCTCAAAATTGACGAGATAGTTGATGGAAAATATAACAGAAACTAGTTGATTCGTATATGGCGACTCGTCGTTTAAGACCAGCCGAGATCCACAGGAAACCCAACTACCAGCTGCTGACAGTCGCTATATTTCAGTTTTAATGTCTGCATTAAAAAGCTATTGATTGCTTAGAAAAATACGGATCGTTCTATGAAATACATTAATATCAATTAAAAACACATCTATTATTCTGATATCTTTGCTCTTTTTGAAGAAAAAATAACACATGGTTTCTGAAAGATGTGATTGCGTGACACAGGTCTGATTGTTAAAACGTGGTTGAGTTGTGGCGCTACAAACACATTTATAAATTAAATATTGTTGAATGACAAAAATAAAAAGACAACTTTCCAGAAAAGCAAAGGTTTGGGTTAATAAACCATTACCAGTTATATTACCAGTTGCCTTTAATATCGAACTAAAGTTGCGTGACAAATAATGTAYGGTGCGTTAGTGATTATACCAGTTGCTAAATCTGTCATTTTCTTAACTATTTTTGGACGAAAACGAAAGACCGCTCTGAAACTGAAGCTGCGCAATGATAAAAGTTCCGCTCCGAGTTTGTTTCAAAACATTTTCTTTGTACGTCATTATTTTTCTAAAGGGAATCTAAAACCCTAGCTACCATCCATTCTCGCTCGTGCGCAGATGGTGGACTGCGCCTTCTACTTAACAGGGTCTAACAGACTTGAAATTCAAAGAACAGGCTATAAGTCAATAGCCCATAATTATTTTAGTCAAATCTAACTTAGTAGGTCAAACATATAGATGTAATAAAGTTTTGAAGTTTTGAACAAGGTAAATTTAATTTTTTGCATGGTTTTCAAATTAGCACTTTTCGCTACTAGTAGGATATAACTTATAGCCTAGTAGTAGCTCGTCCAATCAGAATACAGCATTGATGATAGACCACTAGTTGGATTTGACTAAAGTATTTTTGCATAAACCTACTAATGGTCTATTACAAATCTTGTACTCTGATTGGCTGAGCTAATAGTGGTCAGGTAGTAATAAACCACTAATAGCAAAAAGTATTGGTTTTGAAAACATGAAAAATAAATTATTTCAACCTAATTTCAAAATTGTTTGTATCCATTTTGGGCCAATGAGTAGTTTAATGGTAAAACAGTTAGACCTCTAGCACTCATGGTATATGAGTCAATAGCCCCTGAGGTGGAGGGTGAAATAGCTGACATTTAGCCTGCTTGCTAACACAGGTAGAGTTATAAACAGTCACACAGGCAAATGTATTCATGTATCACTGAGAAGAAATATTTATTCATTTATTTATCATAATATCTCACATGAGTTAATAAATAATACAGATATAATAGAGACATAATAATAACTGTAGGTTATTGTGGTTTGCGACTGTTGTTGACAACGTAAAGACAGGGACTGCATGGAGGGAGGGGCCAGGGTGACTATAGCCTGTCTAGTTTTCCATTTTGCATACCAATCTCTTATATTTTCAAGCCTTAGCTCCCTCAGTCCCCACAGTTCTTGAAGTATGCATGTGCATTGACTTATACTATAGTAACAATACATGATATTTGAGATATAGATTCTCACTTAATGCTCTCATATTTTGTAAAAAGGTTTGACCAATCTGATATTAAATAAATGTTAAACATGATATTTATGCATCTCCCTGAAGTAGAATAAAATCATGGGAATGTCCAAACTAAGTCTTTCCACCATGCTGGGAAAAAAACCACCCCAAGTATGTCAGAGGCACATCTCAAAAGGATTGAGCTGAAAACAATACAGCAAGGCATGAACCCAGCTCTAATCAGTTTGAATTAGTTAGGGCCAGTTTAAAAGGAAGAAGACAAAAACAAAAGCTGAAAAAAACTTTGAAATCAGAAGGAAAACCAACACCTCTCAGCTCACATGGGGCAGCTGGGAATTGAACCTCAGAGGTAATAACCAAGTGCAAGGCCATCGACAAGCCTTGATTATGACCTTTATCGCACGGTGGCCATGTTTATTACTAATGAGAATAAAAATCGATGTTTAACTTTCATAACTTTTTTTAAAGCACTTCAATGGGAGGCTGCGCGTGGAGGAATCTATTATTCAAACCAACATGGCTGCCGCGTGAAAAAGGCTCATGGTCAAACCTTGCATAGTCATATGACATACTATTGCTTTTGATTCTTCATCAAGGATGCTAATTAATCAAAAGTTTAAATTAAGTGTTGAAACGTGTAAATATATTGAGTCTGGCATGGATGGGTATTTTGTTGTCATGGTTTTATTGTTTTCTTCTTTTAGTTCTTGCGATGTTTCGGGTTGTTTATCAGCTGTTGTAGTATATACATGCCGTCTCTTTAGCCTGCGAACAATACTTTCTAGGCTACGGCGCTTTGACTCGTAAAATTTCGAAGTCTCCAGTCTCTTTAAGTACAAATTTCTTTTCAGTTTTACTTCGTGATAGCCAAGGTTTAATGTGGGAGCCCAATCAACATCTTCTATATCATACAAGCTGCTTGGACGTCCTGTGGTGTAATATAAGAAGCAGTTGAAACTCCTTCATCCAAACATTTCATAAATTACTCTTCTTAAAAGAAAAACAAACTCCTTAGAGCTATTATCAATAGGTTCAAACTAATAATAATAGTATAAAACTTGAGTACCTTTTGCAAAGTGATCGCTGCAAACTCGAGCATGGGGAGACTCAATCTTCTTTGCTAGTATTGACAGATTTTCGATCCATTTTTCACGACGTTTTTTAGAAATTTCAAGACTCCTTTCGCCCTTGTGTAGAATAATCTTGGGTACTCTAAAATATCTCTTGTCTTTTTCTCTGTTTGAGCGATTTGTACAGCCATAAACTGAGCAACAATCAGGCATTTTTAACCAAACTCTGGCCAGCGGACACGTAGTTATAGACATCGATCACTGCCCGTCACCTGGGTATGTAGACACCCGGATGTAATGATGTCATGTAGCTTTATAGTATATATAAGTCTAACTGAAAAAAAGTAAAATGTCAATGTCCTGCTTTTGTAGTTGTAGGTTTCTTTTTCTTCGTCCTCTCCTATTCAAAAAAGAAAAACGAAAAAAAAGGAGCAAAAGCGTAAGTAGGTATCACGTTTAGGTCACCCATCCAAGTGCTAACCCTCCTCAGCCGAGCTTGACTCAGTATCTTGAACGATAACAATTTATCCACTGAGCCACTGTTCCAGGTGAATCAGCATATCAATAGCCTTGAAAACAATGCACCGAATAGACTAGACTTTTTAACATTATATTTTCAACCGATTCCGTGCGTGGCAGAGATGCAAGGGATTAGCCGATATGGTCTGGGGGCCGGCTGGTCTCTCCCCTGATGCTTCGGCTAGAACATTTTCTTGCGTAATTCGTGCACCCAAGGGCAGAAGGATTTAATCGCCGTCAGGTCCGAAGTCCATACGCCGCCTCAGCTCTACGGATGTCTCGGGGGTATGGCACAATGAAATCGCATTTTAAAATTTTTTTTAGATTTTCCATTTTTTCTTTTTTCTCTTTTTTTTTAATCCATTTTTTATTAGATCTTAATAAATCTTCAACAATAAGCCAATCATTTTAGTGAAAAAAGTTTTATTCCTAGTCGGTTGCTCATAAGCTTGTATACGTTCGATCAGATGTTATCAGTGATATAAGCAATATCGATCCGCGAAAAGTAGAGCTATGCTTTCCTATCTTTCCTGGCAAAGTTTGCTGACAAGAACATTTACTGCACTTGGTACTCTTGGTATTATATGCCCACAAAGGACTTGAAGACTTTTGGGTGCTATTGCGCAATTTCTGCATTTTTTAACAAAGAAAATAAACAGCTACCCCAGTAAATAATATAATAGCTTGGGATGATAAAAAAGATAAGAAAATTGATTGGTGATTCTGACAGAGAACATTGGGATATTTGATCTTGTTGCAACATGGAGCAAGATCAAATTTACAAGTAGTGTGGCATGCATAACGCAAAACTGTTTATTATATAGCCTACAAAAGTGCAGAACCTGCAATTATTTCAATATTATGTACAGAACACATCTTCTTAGACAAGTTAAACGAAATCATTTCATATTTTCTCAGCTGTACTAGGTCTGTGCATGATACAGGCAACCCAGTGAACGCCTAAAGGGCGTCTTGTTTGTTTTGTTAAAATTGAATTTATTGTCACCCTGAAAAAGAAGTTTTTACGATGGGATCAGTAATGTAACTTAGCAGCCCTGGACGTAGACTGAGGACGACGGCTGCTCTAACTTGTGGGGGGGGACTTGCTTTAGAGTATAAAATACTTCATACTCTCTTGGTTTAGACTGTGGCGGTAATAACACATCCATTTTAAACTCCAAAAATAAAAGAAATTTCTCGTTTTCTAGAGCCCGCCAAACCTACCTTCTTCAGCGCCGCGGCTTAAGGTTCACGTGAGCCCGACGGCACGTCTCGCGGCCATCTATCTCCTTCCAGGGTTAACCCCTAACCCTAGATCATCCTACTCGGCGATAAACCTTAATTTGAGATGGCACAGAACGATGTGAAAGATCATCATAACATGTCTATTGATGGATTGCAACCAAGAGTAAAAAAAGCAATGGATGCTAACATGAGAAATATATTTTTTTAAGAAGAACCCATATGGCCGCGATGACAGAACATGCAAAGAAAGAATTGCTCGAAAGCTGTAAAACATTTGTCATCAATCAGACGCACTTATCATCATTTTTTACCATATCATATCAATTTCTCCACCCCCCCAGTGGGAGGAGTTTGCCCAATGCCAAAGGAACAGACAAAGTTGATTCCATTTAATCGGATGCTGAATCTTGTGTTTCAATGTCTTGAATACATAAGTCATCATCTTTGCTTTCGATTCTCCTTGCTAGTGACATCATCTCATAACGATCATTGGGTACTGACTGCAACTCGATTTGACTTTCATCAGGTACGAAATTCAGATCAAGGAACGTCTGCTCGGTTGTCGTGTTGATTGTTGGTACCGTCATAATCCGCCTTCGAGTGAAGAGGGGCGTGTTACTTGCTGCAATGTCCATCACATCAACTATCTGCATGAGTTCTTCAACATTGGTTTGTTCTGTTTGTTGCTGTGCTGTAACGGGAACCACATAGGCTTTTCTTCGTCTTCCTAGCTTCATAAAGCAGTTCTGAGTGATAACGTTTCTCTTTGCTCTTTTGAAATATTGCAACATGAGGTTACGACTGCGTCGATTTCTAAGTCCATAGATTAAAGGCCTTAGTGAAGTATTGAATAGAAGCAACCAAAAGGCTATAATACGCCAGGAGTGAGGTATAACTATGTTAGGACGTATACTTATCAATTGTATTGTAATGTATGGAAGGCATAAAAGGACGTGAGAGGCGACCACGATCAGGGTGGTGCACGCTGTATAATCTTCTGCCATCATTCGCAACTGATCTACGTTTATCAGATTTTGTTTCTGTCGAGGATGTGTCATACATCTGCGCATGTGAATCTTCTTGAATACCTTGAGAAGTGAGACGAGCAGGAGACTTACTGAAACTACTTTAAATAGCAAACCTTCAAGCAAAACAAATGTCAAAATTGATTCAAGACTTGCCCCAGAGGATGTTATCATGATGCAATTACCGAGGCAGTCATCATACACCGCTTCGCGAGGAGGGTACGGAACGGAGAATATCAGAGCAGTAATACAAACGACAAAGAAAGTCATTAATACTCCATTTCTGCTAAACTTTTTCAACTTTCTCTGTACAATGTTTGAATGTTTCTCTAAGACAACCACTGATAAAGTGGCTGTAGATACTTTGGTAAAGAACTCGCCACAAAAGGCAGTTACATGGCACATATTTTGACCAAACATCCATTGGTATCGAAAGAGTGATATGAGAGAAAACGGCATGAAAAACACACATAACCCGAGGTCTGACACTGCCATAATAAATGCAAATTTGTTTCCCATGGTTTGCATCAAAACATCGCCACATATCACCCGTATGATCAGACCATTACCAAGCAGTCCGCTCACCATTATCAACAGTAAAGTCATTTCTTGTACCATAGCCATGTTTTTAGTTTGTTCCTCCTTTGGTTCCCCAATACCGCTATTTTTACACAGGTTGAAGTTAACTAGATAATTCTCTTATACTGGCGTAAAGTGGCCAACTGCCTTCATAGTCAAACAGATTCAATTATATTCATTAGTATATCAGGGTAGTTAGTTGACACTATAGATGTCGGAGTACTGTACTGATGAAAAAACGTCTTGAGCGATCTTTATAAAATTTTGGAAGAATTTTGATCAGTGCGGAAAGGCTTTTATCTTTCCGACAATAGTTCCTTAATGAAATTAGTAAATTTGGTTAAGTTGGCGTCAACGTTTCCATGGAAACTAATTATAATTTCTTAAAGATTTCCTGGTATGTATAAGAATATTAAAACTATCGAAAAGCGCTATTCTAGATCTTGGGGTCCATGTGACGTCATAGCCGCCATTTTGGTTGACCTGCCGGTATCTTTTCTCATGTCAGCCAACATGGCGACCACGTCTTTTTTCTGTTTATTCTCATGGGAAGGTATACACGATACGAAGTGTAAAAATCAGCTGACGAAAAAACTCACATTACGAAACTAATTAAAGTTTCTGGACGGATTTATAGCTGGAAACACAGCTGTTTTATACTTTTAATATAGACTCATTCCATGATACTCGCTCACAGCTCAGTGAAGACTGTTAGATATGAAATCTGACTTGTTCGTAATACATGTTCCCAGAAATCTGCTGATTTTTCTCCGGCTTGTATTGCAGGCTCGAGTCATGCATCGTACATACACCTCTATCATCTCCATGGTAACTAAAGGTCGCAGCTTTACAACCAAGTGTCTGCTGACACTTAAGGACGCAAGCGATCTTACTTTTCATCTTAAGTCTGTTTATAAAAGAATAATTTTGTATAGGGACGCCATGTAATCCTTGGTATGTACCGACAAGATAATCTGGAATATAAAATACTGGTGTTATACAAGCGGTGCTTTTGATTGAAGCCTTAGCTGCCATCATACTGAGACAGGTGTAACTTCAACAACATCAATGAGAATTAGTCCAACATTTGACAATAAACGTAAAACTTTGGAATAGAAAAAAAACTTTACGAACAAACTATACAAGGTTGCATTTTACTGATAGATAATCACCTGGAAGAAAGTCTGGCACGGGTGTCTGCTTAGGCACAACATTGGTTGTCTTACTTGGCGATACAACAAGAGTCTGTCGCGGTGTTAAGGTCGGTGTCGGTGAGACAGTGTAGGTGGGTAATCCACTGACTATTGCCGTACTGGACATGATAGTGGATATAGGTGTTGGGCTTGTGGCGCTATAGCTTGCGTAGAACCCTCTATTTGTGAAGACAAGATCAGACACAAATCGCACCGTCATGGCATTGCCAGAGGAATAGTAATGTACTACATATCTTTCGTGACAAATTCTTTCCATGAGGTGAGCAGAGGAACCTACCCCGTCCATCACGAGGATATAGTCACTTTCACACCTGTTTGTGTTTTGGAGTTTCACCGTAGAAAACGTAAGAAGGATGCGGTAACCCTGTGGTACTTGTATGACCCATTGACATGTCAGGTTACCAGGATAGTACGAGTGGTAGTAGTTGGGGCTCATTAGTATACCTGACATTGATGTAAGATTTTCCTTGGGACAGACGGCTGGAAAGATAAGAAATAAGGTCATGTAAAATGTGTATGCTGACATCGAATTGATTATCCAACATGCTGTAACCTGGGTCCCAGAATCTCTCGCTAGCATGCAAGGTTTCTCTCACGAGAAAAACCCTTACGATCGGGAAACATAGCGTAGGGAGCTGGGGGGACAGGGGGCCACGTGCCCCTCTCCCAAAAAATAGTTTGCTCTCGGCACCAAAATTTAATTAATTCAATCGGTATTCCGTGTGGATTTGGCTGCAAATGGTACATTGCCATCCTATAATCGAGACCTCGCTAAGCCCCTGGCTACCATTTTCATCGTCTCGGAAATTATCGTAAATAGTGAGCATCATCCAACATGGCTGCCACTTTTATTCCCTCAGGAATAATCACAAGCCACCTATAGTGAGCATCATCCATTAGTTGGTGTTTACAAACATTAGCATTGGGATGTTAATTCGTCGGGAAACCCGTTATCACAATAGTTCTTGCCAAGTTGCTTGGTTTGATCAGCGAATCGAACTTTGGTTGGCAAATTAATGGATATAGTAGAGCCATAGCCAGAATGAAATGTTTACCGCGAGGCAATCGACCGCCGAAGGATTGAGCAACTAGGGCGCTTCGGAGACATGCTCTACATTTTACAGAGGCGACTGTCTCACTAGCCTCGAAGTGTGGCTAGGACCCTGTATAGCTCAGTTAGGTACTCTTACCTTTTAATATCTTGAATTTAGCGAGAAATCCTTGTTGTTCTGTATTGTTTCCTGTGCCGGCAGTGAACGTAACATTCATTTCATTATTTGGCGAATAAAAAGCCAAATTGCTACTCACATACCAAGAATAACAGTACTTATATGATACCGGCCCTGCATATTTGACCGTCAAGTGATCTATACAATAAGGCATAAGTCGTATGGATATCTTGTTAATCAACAGACTGATGTATGTTTTTGGTGGTGATCTTATGATCCAATTATATGAGATGTTTGTAGGATAAGGTAAAGGATACCGAGGACTTGATATCTGGCCACTGATCACAGAGGAATTGCAGTTGAAGATTCTATCACAATTAACACTCCCTGAAACAGGATAGAAACAGTATAGTTTGCATATATACAGGACCCGTATAGTGACATGTATCAGTAATGCATCATCAGTCCAGTATTATACCCTATATAGTAACTATTAGCTGGGTAATGCATCACGAGGTTAGCATCATACACTACCCTGTATAATAACTATTAGCTGGGTAATGCATCACGAGGTTAGCATCA